CTGACCCTAGCAGAATAGAGCAGAACGACCCCCTCCCTTGATCCGGACACAAGGCTTCTGTTAATGCATCCTAAGATCGCATTCGCTTTCTTCGCAGTCACATCACACTGCAGACTCATGTTTAGCTTGTGAGTAACCAGAACACCCAGATCCCTTTCACAGGTGCTACTGTCTTTTTAACTGTCTTTCTAATAAATACGTGTATTTCTGTATAGTATAAGTTTCAACGAGGTTTTTAATATTGGCCCTTCTTTCTCACCCTTGTGGTTCTCAATTCCAGTTTTTAGGTCAGGTTTGTTTCCCCCTCCCTGTGTCTTACCGCCCCGACCTGGACGGCTCAGGCTTGCCTGGTCTTGACTCAGAAACTAAGCAGGGTCAGTATTCGGAGGAGAGACCGCCAAGGAAGTCCAGGGTCGCTACGAAGAGGCAGGCAAGGGCCAAATACCTCTGGTTCGTTTCTTGTCCTGAAAACCTTATTGGGGGTACTATAAATCAGCTGTGGCTCGATGACGCTTTCCACCACCCATCTTAAAGCCCCGACCGGGATGGCCCAGGCTAGCCCAATCTTGTCGGATCTCGGAAGCTAAGCAGGGTCGGCCCCGGTTAGTCCTTGGATGGGAGACCGCCCAGGAAGACCAGGGTCGCCACATAGAGGTACGCAATGGCAAACCACCTCTTGCGTTGACCCAGACTGCCCGTGGCTAGCTTGGTCTTGTCAGATCTCAGAAGCTAAGCAGGGTCGGCCCTGGTTTGTACTTGGGTGGGAGACCACCAAGGAAGTCCAGGGTTGCTGTGCAGAGGCAGGCAAGGGCAAACCACCTCTGTTGATCTCTTGTTTGGGTCTAGCTAACCCATGCTAGTCTGATCTTGTCAGATCTCAGAAGCTAAGCAGGGTCGGCCCTGGTTCGTATTTGGATGGGAGACCACCAAGGAAGTCCAGGGTTGCTACGCAGAGGCAGGCAATGGCAAGCAGCCTCTGAACCTCTCTTGCCTTGACCTCAGTGGCCCAGGCTGCCCTGATCTCGTCAGTTCTCAGAAGCTAAGCAGGGTTGGCCCCGGTTACTACTTGGAGGGGAGACCACCAAGGAAGTCCAGGGTTGCTTTGCAGAGGCAGGCCATGGCAGACCACCTCTGTCTATCTCTTGCCTCGACCTAGATGGCCCAGGCTGCCCTGATCTCATCAGATCTCAGAAGCTAAGCAGGGTTGGCCCTGGTTAGTCCTTGGATGGGAGACCACCCAGGAAGTCCAGGGTAGCTATGCAGAGGCAGGCAATGGCAAAACTACCTCTGAACGTCTCTTGCTTTGACCGGAAGTCCAGGGTAGCTATGCAGAGGCAGGCAAGGGCAGACCCACCTCTGAATGTCTCTTGCTTTGACCCGGATGGCCCAGGTTAGCCTGATCTTGTCTGATCTCAAAAGCTATCCAAAGGTCTTGGAAGGACGGAGGTAGTAAGGCATAGTGTGGGTCCACTTTACTTTGGCAGCAGCACCAGCACGCTTGGGAATAAGGGAGGAGACCACCTTGCCCAAATAGATTAACAGAAAAGTAAATCAATGAAAGTGTCTACTTGAATGTAAGACTGAATGTAAGATCCCTATATAGGATCTGTTCCTGAGGAAAGACCAGAGGTCTGAAACACTTCGAAATTCGGAAAACGTGTTGACTGAAAGAGAAACACAGACTGATTGAACTTTGAGCAGATGGCTTTTGTGAATTTGAATAAGGACAACAGACTGTTTGAGGGACATAGATTGAGAGAGACTTGAGCAGACTTGCTGTGTGAATTTCTATCAACCTTTGTATGTTGTTTGTCTTTATTACCAGACACTAAATACGTTGTATTGTTCTGTGGGCATCTAGCACATGTCTGTATATATTGTTTTCATGCCAGTTTGGTGTAGTTTGGTGTAGTGGTTAGGAGCGCCGGGTTTGATTCCCCACTCCTCCACTTGCACCTGGCTGGATGACCTCGGGCAAGCCGTAGTTCTGATAAGAGCTGTCCTTGAAAAAGAGCAGTTTCTGTCAAGAGCTCTCTCAGCCCCACCCACCTCACAGGGTGGGGAGGGGAAGGGAAAGGAGTTTGTAAGCCGCTCTTAGACACCCTTGGGTAGTGAAGGGTGGGGTATAAATCCAGTGTCTTCTTCTCTTCTTAATGGATTCCAGTTTGGTGTAGTGGTGAAGTGTGCGGACTCTAATCTGGGAGAGCCGGGTTTGATTCCCCCACTCCTCCACTTGCACCTGCTGGATGACCTTGGGCAAGCTGTAGTTCTGATAAGAGCTGTTCTTGAAAAAGAGCAGTGTCTGTCAAGAGCTCTCTCAGCCCCACCCACCTCACAGGGTGGGGAGGGGAAGGGAAAGGAGTTTGTAAGCCGCTCTTAGACACCCTTGGGTAGTGAAGGGTGGGGTATAAATCCAGTGTCTTCTTCTCTTCTTAATGGATTCCAGTTTGGTGTAGTGGTGAAGTGTGCGGACTCTAATCTGGGAGAGCCGGGTTTGATTCCCCCACTCCTCCACTTGCACCTGCTGGATGACCTTGGGCAAGCTGTAGTTCTGATAAGAGCTGTTCTTGAAAAAGAGCAGTGTCTGTCAAGAGCTCTCTCAGCCCCACCCACCTCACAGGGTGGGGAGGGGAAGGGAAAGGAGTTTGTAAGCCGCTCTTAGACACCCTTGGGTAGTGAAGGGTGGGGTATAAATCCAATCTCTTCTTCTTTTACCTCACAGGGTGTCTGTTGTGGGGAGTGGAAGGGAAAGG